GGAATTGCTCAGGCCACACAATTGGAAAGCACGTTGCTCTTTACATCATTCGGTTTTGGCATTTTCCTGATAAAACGAATCATGGCGCACATAATATAGGTTTTTTTTTTTGTGATTGTCTGATTTATTCACTACAAGAAAATGATGAAATTCCAATGGAAAATTCCAACTGCAATTCCAATGGATATTCCAATGCTATTATTTCCATTAGAAATTTTCAATGGATTCCAGTTGAAATTCCAACAAAAATATTATGTTGGAATGAGTTTTTCATTGGAATTTCTATTGGATTTTGACGATTGCAACAGTAGATTTTCCAACGGGGGTGGAAATAAAAATTCCAACGGAAATTGCATATTCCAACGGTAAAAAACCGTTGGAATCATAAAAAACCATCTACAATTCAAATAGAAAACTCATTCCAACGAGTATTTTCGTTGGAATTTCTGTTGGAATGATTCCAACGGAAGCTATACCAATGGAATATCCGTTAGAATTTCTATTGGAATATATTGCCGTAGGAATTTTTGTTGAAATGTAACAAATTTTTTTGTAGTGACTAGGCTAGTTAAATTTCAAATTCTGCATATAAGAGCACTATCCTTTGGGTAAAATTAAGTAAAGAATGTATCTAATTTTTTGCAGAATCAGTTTGATGCCATTAGTTGTTGTCTGTTTTTGTATTCGCATGAAAATATCTGCGCAGATAACCGAAAGACAAGAAAGACGAAAAATAAGTATAGTAATAACAATGCTTGTGGACTAATACAAAAGACATACATACATACACAAAAACACACAGACAATCATGTGTGTTTCCATGCCTTGCTATACATACACACTCGAGACTCTCTGCCTTTATTTTCACCAAGTGCTTGCAAACGCATATGTTACAAGGGTGAACTCCAAATTCGATTTTGTGTTTTTTCATCGTGCACCTCATTTTCTAGGCTCGTAAGGCGAATTATTCATGTGGTGAATCAAGAGAGATGAAGACATAATTATGATGAAACAGAAAAGAAAGAAAGGACCCTTACGATTCTCTTTCAGGTACTTTTTTTTATTTTTTTTAAAAAAGTTTTTCTACTCTAATGATTTAGTTTTCTCAAAGAAGTTCTGTTTCCAAGCACTCCCTTGGAATCTTTTATCACATGTAGTAATTGTTTGCTGTGTGGTTCGATTTTGTCAATTTAAATCCTTACGCATCGATAAAGTCAAGTAGATCAGCACAATAGTTCCCATGCTTGACCTGTGACAAATTCACGAGTACGCAAATTTATTGACTTAAAAAAAAAAAAAAGTTTGATTCGGAATTTCAAACTCGTGCATGAGAGTTTTAACTCACAGGGTCGCGAAGCAGAGGAGTATTCTCCTGGGAGTAAAGGACCGCCCGGCGTGCGGAGAATGTGGGGAGTCCAATCGCATGCCGCCAAGTGTACTGACGGCGATTATCTGATGGCTGCCCGGAGGGCTCACCGGGGGTTTGGCGGGCCCCAGCCCATGTAATCGTGTCTTTTCAGGTATGCCGTTTCCATGCAAAGTAGCTACACTTGTACAGGACCCAATCAGAAAGTTCAGAACTAAGCACCATAATTACATAACACTATATATGTTTAATCCATATGAATGTGTCTGATTTATTCTAAACCTGTAGCTGACGTGGCAAGATTGATTTTGGCCTCGCTGACTGAATTGGATGATGTTGATGATGATGACGATCTTTTTTGTGAGAGGTTCTTCTGCAACTTATATTAATGTTTTTAAACGCTTGATTAGAACTGTTAATCCAATCAAAACCCGATTATTATCACTTTTTACTGAAGGATAAGGAGCCATAAATCATCAATAAAGCATGTAATTATTCAGATAACATATACAGATTAATTAGAAAGGATACTTACTTTGATTCTTGAATTTGAGCTATCTTCCTTCTCTGTAAATTGAGAATTTTCACTCATATCCACCACAAAGCTATGATCAGAGCTATTGATTGATTTGTTTACATGGTTAGGAACACAAATTTTATGATCAGGGCTCATTTTTTATTTATTTTTTTTTTCCTTTTTTTCTTTAGGATTCAAAATGAAAAAAAAAATAATAATAATAATTGTGAGCAAAACAGAGCGAGTGTAGTAAGAAATTGAATAAAAGGGCCTATTTATGCTGTGTTTTTTTTTTCTTTAAAAAATCACATTGTTTTCCCCTTTTACAGCCTCTTTTTTATTTATTTATTTTTTTTGTACAGGGACCTTCCGGTTTCCGGATTTACAGGGGAACCGACTAAGCCGGGTAGGACCACAAGCTCTTCTTTATTCTTTGGCAAGAAGGGATTAATTGAGGATTTTGTTGCGCAGAAAAACGGGGAAACAGATTGTCTGTGGTAAGTGCTGTTTGGAAGTGTTAACTTTAGAATCATGAAATCGTTTGTTTGGCTTTGTGCTGTTGATACCAAACGGCACTCACAAAACAAACACGCCCTACTGGTGGGTCAACTTTGGATGCCCCGTGTGATTAAATGATGGCTTGCCTATGCCAAAGTTTTCATTGCAAGAAAGTCACGGGGCACAAGAGAAAACTTCAACCATAAGACATCATTATTTTCTCCAAAAAAAATAAAAGTAAATTGTAAATAATTATGAAAAAAATAATTGCGAGGATAAGAGCGACTATTGATTGTGTTTTTGGGAAATGCTAAGGTCCCATTACGGAACTATTTTGTCGTTGTTTGTAATCGTTAGATTATCATATAATCGTCAGAGATAATTGATCTAACAGTTACAATCTCTAACAGAATGATTCCGTAATGGGACTGTAACATCTTTATGTGTTTTTTATCTTTGTTTCCTTAGGGATGATCCATGAATATTATTGTTCTCATCATTTATTTTACCATTGGATCAAAACGGTAAATAATAATAATAATAATAATAATAATAATAATAATAATAATAATCATGAGGGCTTCTTATTGAGTATGTTTTTGTGAGTTCACCCATAATTTTCTAGAGCATTTAAAATGTAGATATGTAGAATAATTAAAAGTCATTCATCTAATTAAATTAAAAAGTAGGTAAAATAATTTTTACTCCAATTTACATTCTCATGAGCTCTTTTATGATGACATATTGGACCTAATCATAATTAGGAGAAATGCTACAGTCCTGTTACGAAACCATTCCGTCAGGATTTGTAACCGTTAGATCAACTATCTCCAACGGTTATATGATGATCTAACGGTTACAAACCCCGACGGAACGGTTCCGTAACGGGACCGTAGCATCTCCCATAATTAGATGACCTTTACTGTGCTTGTTTTCTTATAGTTTCTATGGGTGGATTTACTAAATCCGAAAAATCGAAATCACGTGTCTTTTGAGTAAAGAAAGACACTCTCAGAGCCTCTTTTAGGAATTTGCTCAGAACTAATAATAAGTAATTAAATTAAACAAAATGATACAAACGTTTGAAAGATTGCTAATTTATAAGACATTTGGATCTCTTTTTGCTTGCTCGAGATTAGCGAAAGAGAATTGTAATAATAACACTTTCAAATCAAAATATTCATTATGAGAAAACCGATCTTTAATTTTTTAGTTTCTTTTAACTATTATCATCATTCTTTGATCTTCATATAACACTTTCGTCCTCGTCATTGATGGCTAAAGTTATTTGAGTATGTTTGTTTATAAAAAATTTCAAAAATTTTTTAACACTTTAACTCAACCACTTTTTTTAACTCAACTTTAACTCAACACCACTATCATTAATATAATTAAATAATATCAATCAATCATTCATCCACACCACATCAACTTTAATTCACTATTCATCTACTCACATAATTTTAACTAACCATCACATCACATCTTATCTCTCCTACTTTTACATCATTTTAATTTTAATCATTTTATTTTAAATATTATTTTAATAAATCCACTAACAACTAACTATACCACATCTTCAAAATTAATTAACCCACATCAAAAAATCCAAACAAACTCAAAAAATAACAATCGTGCCCAAATCTTAATGGATGACAAAAATATGAACACACTTCCCTATATAGGCTTTTCCGAAAATAGATGTCAATTTATGTGGTCCGTGTCCATTTAATTCATAATCATACGTGTCAATTTGTGATTCAAAATAGTTACATAGATTTGAAATTCTATTATTTCTTAGTACGACTTTTAAGATTATAAAAGTTAATAATTTTATATTTATCGTTAATTTT